ATAACTTAAAAGTGATTCAGAGAGACATTTCTCTCATTTATATCATATAACTTGTCAACCGAGTAGACTTCTCTTGTCTCGAGTAGACTTCTGAAGTAGACTTCTCATTGTCTCGAGTAGACTTCTTAAAGACATTAATTTTACATAACTTAAAGGTGACAACATTCGCCCTCCTTGGCTATTCGCCCTCCTTTGCCAACGTTCACCAAGAAGCTCACCATGTGTGCAACCATCTCTTAAGAACAACATTCGACCTCCTTTGCTATTATCCACCTCGAACTGCCACACTGATTCACTCTTAACCCATTCTACATAAACAGCGGGTATGTGAGCCATTCTCTGTGAAAAAAAAAAACAAAATCCAAACCACATTAGACATCAAAATTGTATAAGTAGACTTCTCTGAAAGTCGGATGAAGTCTACATAGTAGTCTACTATTAATAAGCTAAGTATCATATAAAACATGAAAACTCATTCGACTATACCTATAAAATATAAATATGCAAAACTTATACATAAGCAAGAAAACTTAATAACAGAAGCTTAAGATCACGAAAATCTTAAAAATTCTTTATATATTGTATAAAAATGATTTTTTTAAAAAAAACAAGAAAAGTAGACTTCTCGGATAAAAGTAGACTTCTCGCAGGTTAGTTTTGCAATTGCCAAAATATTAGTAGACTTCTCTATGAAAAGTAGACTTCTCCGAGAAGTCTACTTTCGTAAGTAGACTTCTCGCATGTCATTTTTGCAATTGCAAAATATTTGACTTTTTGGTCAATTGCAAGAATGACCTGCGAGAAGTCTACTTTATATTTGATTTTTTGGTCAATTGCAAAAATGACCCGCGAGAAGTCTACTTACGGAAGTAGACTTCTCCGTAAGTAGACTTCTCAGAGAAGTCTACTTTGCATAGAGAAGTCTACTCTACAAAGTCAAAGATTGGTCAATTGCAAAAATGACCTGCTTCTAAAGAAGTCTACTCGAGAAGTCTACTCCATTTTTTTGTTATCAAAGGAAATGGAGTAGACTTCATTAGACCAAAAGAATACTACTTTTTCATGCAGTCAATTGCAAAACTAACCTCGGCGTTGGCTAGTAGACTTCATTCGGACCGAGAGAAGTCTATTTTCGGAGCATTTTCGTAAATAAGTGAGGAAGATAAGGATTAGTTGGTCATTTGGATTTCCAAAAATAAAAGAAATTAATTAAAAACAATGGCAATTTCGTGAATAACTGAAACTATGAAGGATTGTCTGGACACAAAATGGCAAATGTTGGGAAGGTGATTTTTGTGGGTTAGATTTGCAATTCAAATCAAATTTTAGGTCATTTTTGCAAGAATCCCTTCTTGATTTTTGTGAAAAAAATGTGATTTCTTAATTTTTGTGGAAAATTGTAATTTGACAATTTTGACGGAAAATACAATATCTTAGTATGATGGGAAAACAAAATTTCTTGATTTTGGAATGAATAAGCAATTTTTTGGTTTTGATGGAAAATGCAAATTTTCAGTTTTGACATATAATGTGATTTTTTGGTTTTCCCGGTAAAATACAATTTTTTAGTTTTCACAGAAAACACAATTTCTTAGGAGATAATGCAATTTTTGGTTTTCGCGAGAAATTGTAGTTTATCACTTTTGGTAGGAAGACCTGATTTTTGGTTTGATGATTTTTTTTTTTTTTTTTTTTTGCGGGAATTGACGATTTCTCGATTTTCATGGGAAAATGAATTTTTTGGTCTTGGTGAAAAAACTTGATTTCTCTCTTTTGACGGGAAAATACAGATTTTCGCAGGAAAATGTGATTTTTTGGTTTTTGCGGTAAAATGCAATTTCTTTGTTTTGGTGTGAAAATAAAATTTCAGGTTTGTCGAGAAAATGAATGTTTTTGGTTTTGGCGGAAATATGTGAAATAATTATTTTTTTGTTTTTTCGGAAATTGCGATTTCTCAGTTTTTTAAAAAATGGCAATTTGTTTTACATAATTTCAAAGGAAAATCAATTAGCAATTTAGTAGAGATAACAAATTACATTTGCCATTAGAATAAAGATACTTAAAATGTATTGTTTTATTTTTTTATATAATTATAGATAGTTAGCTAAACAAATTTGATAGTAGATTATAATTTTGAAAAATAAAAATTTTTTAAGGATATATAATATTTATTCAGATTTAAAACATATAAATACATAACTTAAGTTGATAAAAAAATAAATATAATACTTATTTATATTATATAAATAATTTTATTATATTAAAAATACATACAAAATCTAAAAATATATCCCGCAGCATAGCGCAGATATATACCTAGTATTACTATAGTACCCTCTTCAAATTCTACTAATTCACCTGCCATTACTTCATCAAGACCATAAATACGAGACTCGTTTAAGTCTTTATTTAGTTTAGTAATAATAATTTTGATATTATTTAGTTTTAAACTATAGATAAAACTTAAATCAATAATATAGTCACAAGTCTCTAAACTTTCTCTATTCTTTCTCATTCTCTTTTTCTAATTTTATCATCAATGCAAATGGTCTAATTCTCTTTTTCTAATTTTATCATCAATGCAAATGGTCTAATTAAGGTTTGTTTCGAGAAGAGTGATAATGACCAAATGCATAACTATATATTTCTTTCGTTATTGCTGATATAGCAACACATTTCTACGATAGTGAAACATTTTGGCAAAAAGTTTATGCTTATTTTGCCGTGATACATTTTATTGATATATCATTTAATTTTTCATCATTTTTTCCTCGTATTACAACGTTCAAACCTAATTTATGTCAATGCTATATTTTTTTATAATCTAACTGTAACTAGGTGGTTAGCCTGTACATATGTGCGGGTATAATATTTTTGATATACATAGTTAATTGTAATATTTGAATGTTGATTAGTTTTTTCAAATATTGGTATGTTTGTATATATATATTATTTTAAGGGCTTTTTAGTGTAATAACTATATTGGAGAAAGAATAAGAGAATATAGCTATGTTGTTCAAAAAATTAGATAAATAACCATGGTTCACAGAGAAATTACAATACACTCCTTCAGTTTTAAGCAAAACATATACTGCGATATATTTTTTGACGTATAGGGTAGTAGAAACTTATACCATCACATCTATACTATAACTAGTGAGTTCTATACTATTTGAAAATGTGCAATCTAGTAGTATAATTGTAACTGTCATACTATACTATTTTTAATTTAGAGTATAATGATCGACGAAATGATATATAACCAGAAACTCTCATACTATATTATAGTAGTGTTGTTGTATACTGAACATATAGTATAGTCCAGTAGTAAACCATATGTTATTAGAGATATACTATATATTCAAATAGGAAAATAAGTTATTGGAAACAATAATCGATATAGTGTAACTTTAGTGGTGTTTAATATAAACTAATATGGTTTGTGTTTATTATTTTTCAATAACATATTGAAGTGCGATCTATCCTTTGCGATGAAGATACATTTAATTTTTTATCTTTATTTTCTACTGCTAACGTCAGCAATTATTTTTCACTCTATTTTAAACAAAGGGGTTTTTAGTATATATTGTAGAATATATAAAAAAATATAATAACACCTACTTTACTATGGTTATTTTCTGAATTATAGCCTTTGATATGGCTATATCAGCCAATTTCCCTTATTTTAATATTTGACAAACTTCTTTCTGAAACCAATGTATGTTAAAACTTTTTCTTTTTATAATGTTTGTAATAATATATAATCACAAATATAAAATTTATTTTTTAAATAATAATTAAACTCTTATAATATTTTTTAAATATTTCTATAATATGCTTTATTTTTCCTTACACAATCTACAATATGCTTTTTTGCGTCTTACATAATATGAATTTGCAAATACATATATAATATATTTTATGTATATATTTTTCTTGATTTATTGTAAATTAAGCTGAAATAGTTTTTACTATTTTTACTATTTTTACTTATTCCTAAGAGCGAATAGATGGTTGGCACGCATGTGCGGGCATACAACCACTTCACTACACTTATTTATGTATATCTCTATACTATATTTTGTAAATTAGTATCTTTTCAAAATAAAAATATATCATACTGCAAGTATTATTAATATATAAAATTTATAGTATTTTATTGGATATTTAGTATTATTTTTTTGCTTTTATTTGAAATTGCAATATATATATATATTGTTGAAAAAAATTCGTAATTATATTTTATGAAATTATGAATATATTTAAAAGATTGAAATTATAATAATTATTATTTTCTGTTAATTTAAATTTGTTAATTTTCGTGTTATAAATATAATCTAATGTATTTATGTTTTAATTTTATAATTTCTTTAATTTTAATTTAACCAATCAAAACATTTCATTTATTTTAGGAAATTTGGCATGTCATATTTAGATGTCATCGATTAAAAGCACTAACTTTGGCTGTAGTGTTGACAAATCAACTATTTTTAATAATGTTACTTCTCAAATAATATGTAGTGGATGAATCCAGTGGGTTCCCGTTAACTATTGATATCGTGATATTACTTTACTTGGAATATCTAAACCATATTAGGTTTAAATCACGAATAAAAGAAGAAAATATAAACCTGATTTGATTTAAAAACAAAACTGAAGATTTGAGAAACATAGAAACAAGTTGTGCAAGTTTTTTTTTGAACAAAGGCTAACAAGTTACAAGTTCTTCCGGAAAGTTTTAGTAATTAGCTCCCCAAAGAAAAACTATTAACCTTTGTTCTGTGGTTGTGACGTCCAAAGAAAAAACTATTAACCTTTGTTCTATGGTTGTGACGTCCAAAGAAAAAGAAAGAATTTTTTAAAAGTTATTGTTTCATATTAAAAACTAATCAAGTATCAGAGATGGGATAACTTTTAAAACAAAATGTTTCAAAAATTGACTATAAACTATAAAGTGAAGTTAACCCTGGTTGCTAAAAAAAAACTATAAAGTGAAGTTAGTGAAGCTTGGGAAATGTTTTTCAGAAATTCAATTTTCGTCTTAACATATTTCAATCATTATAGCCAATATACTACAACATGCTATATTTGTTCCAGTGCGCAAGAAACTTCTTTCATAACGTAGAGAGTTTACAGAACAATCAAGTAAAAAACCCTAGAGGCGAGAATACTTTTGATATGGGTTTGTAAACTCCAAAGCTTGATCAGATCTTGAAATGAAGCAACAGAGACTTCCCATCAAGTCCTCTCGCCATGTAATGGCTCGTGTACTCACTAACTGTAGTGTCTCTATACTTGGGAGGATTTTGTTCAGACAAAAGCTCTCTCATCGGTCCATATACTCGCAAACTCGGTAAAGGATGCACGAAAAAGGACGCGACCGAAATGCGCGGATCTTCACCTCTATTAGCCAAAACTCTATGCTCCACACTCACAAACTTGTCGTTCGTTATAAGCTGTAATTTCAAAGTTCACACACATGAGTATGTACATTGTACTTGTATCGAAAGGTTTATTAATTACCTGTAAGAGATCTCCGAGGTTAACGAGAAGAGCTCCAGGAACAGGAGGAACATCAACCCATAAACCATTCTGAAGAACTTGAAGCCCACCAATGTGATCTTGAAGAAGAATGGTGAGAAAAGATCTGTCTGAATGCTGACTTGTGCCGAAAGTTAGATCAGGCTCAGGACAAGGCGGGTAGTAATGAGAGAGTATCAATAAACCTCTTGTGCAATCCATTTCTATCAAATGATCAGGATTCAGCCCTAAAGCTTCTGACAAAAGCTCAAAGATTAACTCCCCTAATTTCATCACTCTCTCAGAGTACTCCAACATGATTTCCCTAAAAACAAACACATCAATCAATACTATGAGTTTGGATCTTTCGACTGACCCAAGACACTAAATAAGTCTTCTTTCTTTCTTCTTTTCTTCAGATTAGAAATAAGAGAAGTTGTATATTTCGTACCGACAAACTTCTGGCAATTCCTCTGCTTTTGGAGCATCAGGGGACATAAAACAACTTAAAGTATCTCTCCAATTCGCAGATTGAGAGCTATAGAGATCGAAGTTGCTGTTATAAGTAACCTTTCTGGTTCTGTCTCGGCTATAGAACTCCTTCCTCACTTCTGAGTCTTGCTCATGAAACCCACGAATCCCATCTTTCATCTTCTCCATTACATCAACCGGAATCCCATGGTTAATCGCCTGAAAAAACCCGAATTTCTCGACGGCGTCTCTGATCTTCGTGATCACGCTCTCTCGCGTGACCGTGGATTCGAACACGCCACCTCCGAGATCGATTGTTGGGATTAACATAGTCGAGGAGGAAAGTGGTGGATTTGGGGTTAAAATGAGGTGCGGATGATGGAAAATACGAGGGATCTCTGTGGTTCCTGCGTCGACGAGACCCTTCACTCCGATTTTCGTCTCGTCGAAAGCTTTTACCTCACTAGCCCGATCGTATTTTGCTACCATCTTCTTCTTTCTTCTTTCTTCTTCCTTGTTTTCGGCTCTCTGTTTTCAGAAACAGAACAAAGGAGACAAAACTTTTTAAGAGCTTTGCCTTTTTCTTCTGTTGAATTTTTGATACGTCTCTCTGTATGTAATAATAGTCAAAAGATGACTAAAGACGAAGTGCTGGAAATTCGCGGTCTTTGTGGCTTTCACCTTTTGGACTTCTCAAGAATATACTAAAAAATGGAGATGCGGGGTATCGATCCCCGTACCTCTCGCATGCTAAGCGAGCGCTCTACCATCTGAGCTACATCCCCATGACGTTAGCATAACGCACAAAATATATGTATTTTATTAAAAAAGATTGTCAACGTGTAAAATGATTGTATGGAGTGGTCTTTTGGGTCTAAAGATTTTTTTATTTTTTCTTTGATGATGACAAATGACAACAAAAGAAAATTAAAAGTGATCATTGAATCCCAGATAATTCCTGGTCTTGAGTGGCATTTTTCGGCTATGAATGGTGATGAGAGCATTTTCAAAATATAATTAATGTGGTTATATATTTTTTTTCTAAAATTATACTTATTATGATGTTTGTCTATCACCAATCGTGAAAAAAGCCCATTTCAACATCAACATAATTAATTATGTTTTTCATGTATAAACAATTCAACTGTGTGTTTCCATACTTCAATTCCTATATAAATTTAAATTAACTATTTAAACTAAATAATTGGTGTGTAAATCACTGTAACAATAGTTAGTTTAAGAAAAAATTTGCTGACCCAAATGATAAAAAAAATTTAAGAAAAAAAAATTAGAAAATGTTTTCATCATCAGTTACTCATATTTGATTTGTTTTATACAATTCGTGTAATAATCTGCACCAATTAGTCGATAATAATTCAAATTACTATTAGTTATTAAACTTTTAATATTATAATTGTCTTTTTTTTAACATAATATTATAATTGGCTTTAACAAACTTTCTTAACTAACGTTGAATATTGCTAATAATCAGAGAAAGTAAGTTACTGTATTTCTATAAAACTTTTTTAACTTTATGATAAAAAGTCAATCTTAAGTTTCAGAAATAAAATGTAAGAAGTAAATGTGGGGGGGGCGACTAAATCAAGACTAATCTTTATGCACATAATTGGTCAAGTCACATACACACCTACCAAAAGAAGAAATTGAGACATGTGGTTCCATAAACGGTTGGGCTCATTCTCTCACGTTTTATTTTGGTTCCACCTACTTTCTTCGAACCACCACCTATCTTTGTTTTCTTCTCTCTGTCTTGCTTCCTTTCTTTTTCTTTTGGGATGTTAAAAGCAAAGCATATAATCTTTAATAAAAACAAAGCATAACTAATTAATTATACAACTAGTTACCATCTGTGATTTAGTTTACTATCTACTGTTGAAAACGGATGATCATAATAGTGTTTAGTCATAACTCATAATATAATCAATTTGTTCAACTCTTGTGTGGGTTTAATCCTCAGTTCAGCACGTGTAAAGTAGGTGTCCCGCAGCTAATCCTTTTATTACACTCTGTCCGAGTTTGCAAATGAACTGAGTAACTAAATCCTTTTATTAAACTAAGGAAGTTTAAGGTATAATCTTCTTCTTTTTTATAATGCATGACAGATTAATCGTTTTCCGCGTTTGATCGGTTTCGGATTTTTTTCTAGGTTTAGGTCCAAGTGTCACGATATGATTGACGGAGGTAAAAATTATCCCACAACCCCAGGATAAATGATACTCTAGTACTCCAAATTATAGTATAGATTAATATGTTTAAAGAAAAATAAAAGGACAAGGGATGAAAATATCTACGGAAACGCAACGCCACGTTTCGACACGAGTCGCAATTATTATCTCTCCACCACCTCCACTTCTCTATAAAACTCGCGTCGTGATACTATCAATTTCACTTAACAAAGCTAACTGTGTCTGTCTGTGTGAGTAAACAAAGAGAGAGAGAAAGACAGAAAGAAAGAAAGAAAAAATGGTGCTAAAGGTGTACGGACCTCACTTTGCTTCACCGAAGCGAGCTTTGGTAACACTGATCGAGAAGGGCGTCCCCTTCGAGACCATCCCCGTCGATCTCATGAAAGGAGAGCACAAGCAGCCTGCTTACCTCGCTTTACAGGTTCCTCTTCTTTTCTTTTCTTTCTTCCTCGATCGCTTCAGAATTTGTTGTTTTCCTTTTCCAGATTTCTGATGATTTTCTTTGAATTTTTTTTCTCCCGTACAGCCTTTCGGTACCGTTCCTACTGTTGTCGACGGAGACTACAAAATCTTCGGTACGTCTTTTAAGATATACCTCAATTTTTCGTTTTGATCCATAAAATTATTCGAGGTCTGTTTGATGATAAAAAATCGAGATTAAAGATCAGTTTATCATAAATCAAACAAGTTCTGTTTTATAGCTCAGATTGATTGTGGTATAACTGAACTGATCAATTTAAGCTTATTGCAAGTCTGATCTGTCTAAAATTTGGGAATATCCTGAAGCAAAAAAAAAAACATTTTGATTGCAGATGTAAGAAATGTGTAGAAGATGTTATCTTTGCTCTTGTTTCTTGTGTTTGTATGTATCTATGGAGATGCTAAGAGCATGTGTTGTTTCTTGAAATTTTGAACAGAGTCGCGTGCGGTGATGAGGTACGTAGCTGAGAAGTACAGGTCACAAGGACCCGACCTTTTGGGGAAAACCGTCGAAGAGAGAGGCCAAGTTGAGCAGTGGCTCGACGTCGAAGCGACCACTTTCCACCCACCGCTACTTAACCTGACACTGCACATAATGTTCGCATCGGTCATGGGATTCCCATCTGACGAGAAGCTGATCAAGGAGAGCGAGGAGAAACTCGCGGCTGTGCTCGACGTGTACGAGGCTCATCTCTCCAAGAGCAAGTACCTGGCTGGTGACTTCGTGAGCCTGGCTGATTTGGCTCACCTCCCGTTCACCGACTACTTGGTCGGTCCGATCGGGAAGGCTTACATGATCAAAGATAGGAAGCACGTGAGCGCGTGGTGGGACTGCATTAGCAGCCGTCCTGCGTGGAAGGAGTGTCTTGAGAAGTATTCATTCCCGGCTTAAAAGATGATCTTCTTCTTTGCGTTGTTGCTGGTTCTGTGTTGAGTTTCTTCGAGTGTTGCTGTGTTTTTATGTGAGGTTTAATAAAACAGTTCAACTCTGTTCTGTTTCCTTCTGTAATTTGGGACTCTTTCTGCGAGGGTTTTTTTAATTAGAGGAACTTAATTATCTATCTTTCCTTCTTTTTTTCTCGTAGTTTTACTTTAGTTTCGCTTGCTTCGTCGATCACTCAAGCACTACAAGAACCTCTTCTTGAGGCAGAGTCTCACTGTCCCGTACAGAGTAGTGACCAAAGCCGGGACTTGAACCATCTGTTCGCCCATGTGTACCAGTCACCACCTGCTGCTATGATCGCTTTAGACGAAATTCTCAGTGCTCACTCACCTAAACAAGTTTACTTTCATTGATCTCAGATATTACATAATTAACTCTTATACTACAAGAGATTGATATATGTTTTTAGCTACTCTTCCTTTTGCTCTCTCTCCATGCTTTTTGCTTCCTATTCCACCTTTGGAGAGCAATCTTCTCCGACTTCCACCGTTGATTCCGAAACCGTTCTCTCCCTTTTAGCCAATCCGAATAATCCTTCCCGGGCTCACACGCTATGAAATCTGCCAACTCCTCCACGTCGCTGCTTTTCATCTTGCCTTTTCCGGCCACACACCACAGAAATTTCTCCCCATTGCAGCTTTCCTCTTCCACACCAACTCCACAATTCTCTGCATCTTTAGCTTCAGACATCTTCCTGCACAACCATGTAAATCTATTAGCCATCTCATAAACGTGCTTCTCATCCCAAAACGAGTAAAAAGATCAATAGGACTATTGCTAGGTTTTGTACATACCCCAAGTACAAAGTTCGGATTTTTTGAAACTTCAAAGCCACCGCCCCGCTCGATTTCCTATCTACTGCAGTCTGCACCATACAACCATTGACCCATTTAGAAAATAGCGTAGAATTTAAGAGTTCTGTGCAAAAAGTTATTAGTCGTTACCTCCTCAGCATTACAAGAAGCTTCCAAGTCTTTGGAACCACTGGATGGTATGGAAGATGACGACGGACTTTCTGAGTGACAAACTGAATTCTTAAGTGCTTCCAAGTCACCCCCTTCTAGGATAAGTAAATACAGAGATACCACCATTCCAAAAATGGAGTTCTTCATTAGAAAGTCAAGCTTGAGTGCATAGCTTACAGAGAGTAAGCCTGAAAAATGCATAAGCATCCACTTCGATTTCGCATTTCTGTCGCGCAGGAAGCTTTGACCGGGCAAATGAACACTCAACTGCTCAAAACGTTGAACAACATCCATCATGGCTTTGTATTCCTTGCAGGCTCGAACATCTCCTACAGCTTCAGACTGATGCCAGTTGCAATTCCTAAGAACCCGAATGGCTTGCAACATCGAGTAGCTCATCAGCTTCAGTGTTGATGCAAGCAGATATAGATCTTCCATATTAGACGCCTTGTGTTTCTGCAGCACAGAGTCCACGACATCATCAGAACTAGCTCTAAGTATCATGCCACCAAGAATGGATAAAGTCTGAGACAACATACTCTCTGAGCAGGAGCTATCAAATACACATAAGCTGGCCTTTGCGTATGCAACAGAATTCGCCACCAGCTCATTGTTTTCTCTCTTGGCACTGTCACTTTGATATGCACCCCATGACTCCTCTAACTTCAGTGTGAGACGTTTAACTTTTTCCAGTGTCGAGGGCAAAAGAAGATGCTCAAAAGCCACCCGACCAGATGGGGCATTCTCACCCTTACACATGTTCATCGTGTACAAAGCAACAGACTTTTCGAACGCATCAATATAGCTATCAATAAACTGAAGGTCTGGTCCCTTAACACATGGAGGCGAACAAGCACCGATGGCGTCAGAGACCAATAAAACCACATAGGCATGAATCATTCTCGGCGCAGAGGAAATCACCGGGTTTTGCAGCAAGGACATGGCAGCACACAGGCTTATCTGAGTAGGTGTAAACGCATCACAGCATAATCTCTCAGCACACATTCTATTCGTTTTCTCGTCAGAAGCTGAGATGATAAAATGTGCAGAAACCATTTCCACCACACCGGCCCTGTCATGCTTACTGAACAGTCTACACGAGGAGGATGCAGAATCGACAAGGAAAAGCACATCTCTGACTGACTTATTCACCAATATCTCATTCATGAAAACCTTGCACACATACAAAGCCAAAAGTTAAAAAGACCGTTTAAAGAGATCTAAGGAAGAAGATGATGCACAAGTCAGTCAAAAGTTTTACCTCAAGCCCTTTCCAGAGAAATGTATGGCGTGGATCTAAAGATACAAAAGAACAACCCCCATCCGTTGCACTAATCAATCGAGTGAGGATTGAGCGAAGAGCCTTGGCATTCTCCCGAACCAGGTCTTGTCTGGGCAAAAGTAAAGTCACGATCTTTACACAGCATCTTAAGAACAGAATGGCTAATTCCACAGCTGCAGATGTGGGGCAAGTTTCAGCGTTCCCTTTGAGTAAAGTGGAGAAAATGTTCTCGAAACTCGTATCAAGCTCCGTGAACAAAGCATCAGAGAGGTTACAAACATCATCGAATTTGATCAATTCCACTTGCTCAATATTCCAATAGTGCGAGGCGACCTCCCAGCTTATTGGTTGAGTTAGTGATAATTGACCCAGAATGTACAACAGGCGTCTCAAGATTGGCTGCTTAGAAACCTGGAAAATCCCCAAACCCTAAAAAGCTCAGAACTTTCTCTCGACATTACTAAAAATTCGAAGCAGTGCCCAGTAGATTTCGAGACCAGCTAATCGAATTAATCCACTGATTATCGCAGCAACGATTAAACAGGAGAAATTTTGGTCGAAGTTAGGAATTGAGGAGATTGCAGAAACACTGTACCTGAGCGGAAGCGATAGCTGAAGCAAGGGACCGAAATAAGCTGACTGGATCTGAGACCTTACATGGCTTCTTACGGTTTCGCTTGGCCGTCATCGCCGAAAGGAAAGAGAAGATTATGCTCTCGTATCGGTAAGGGTCTCGATTCGAGTGGCTTCTTGTGTGGCGGGAAAGTGAAAAGCCCGCATCGTTTTTGTGCAGTTAGAACGACACGCAGTTTATTTTAAAATGGCCATGTTTGTGGAGTTGTACCAATTCAGTTGTTACAGTCTTTTAGATATTGGATTAAACCAGTGACCTTGAGAACAATTATCTTTACATCTATAGGGAATTCTCTGAGAGACCAACTCAAACTACAGATTCTTCTTCAACCGTAGATATATTTTTGATCTTTTCAGTGGTCTTTGGGGGTCCATTGATCAATATATAAAAAAAGTTAGTATAAACTATGAACTCTATTAATATCTATTTTCAAAAAAAAAAAAACTATGAACTCTATTATCAAGATAGTTGTTGGTTTCCATCACTAATTTTTGTTTTAATCCATCTAATAATTTTGTTTAAAGTAATGTTGTCTGCCAGAATATATAAATACAACAAAATAAGTGGGCTCATTCGATCACGTTTGATTTATATTTATACTTTCTTGCCCCTACCAACCTGATTTTAACCTGCCAACTTTTGTTATCTTTTTTTTTTGTGTGTGCTAATTGCTAAGTCTGATAAAGCCTAATGAGAATCATAATCGCATCTAATTACAACAAGGTGGGGGAATATATTTCCGGCCAGTCTTTAATTTAATAGATTTCTTTACAACAAGTGTGTCTCTTTGCAATTATGAGGCTTATTTATTTAAATACATTAATAGCATTAAGAAAAACAAAAAATACCATTTACTCAAAAAATTGATGGGACGGTGGAAATTTCCTACTGAATAGTCAAGAACGACGTGACTCAACGGTCAACGCCGCCACCGATACCGACGATTTAAGGCCTACACTTGGTTTTTAATACTAAAAAAAGTGCGACTGCGTTTACAACACGTCCGCAAACGCAGCTAACCAGTTCCCTCTTTCTCTCTATAAAATAACGTCTTGAGAGAGTGAGTTTTTGGAACTGATAGAGAAGAAGAAAGAAGAAAGAAGAAAGAAAGAAAAGAAGAAAAAAATGGTGTTGACGATCTATGCGCCTTTCTTCGCTTCTTCTAAGAGAGCTGTTGTGACGCTAGTGGAGAAGGGAGTCGAGTTCGAGACCGTCAATGTCGATCTCTTGAAAGGAGAGCAGAATCAGCCTGAGTACATCGCGATTCAGGTTTTTTTTTTTTTCATTTTTTTTTGTTACTCAAATCTCTGAATCTTTTGATTTATTCCGATTTTGATCTTCACCTTCTCTGTTGATCGATGCAGCCTTTCGGTAAAATCCCTGCGCTCGTCGACGGAGACTACAAAATCTTCGGTACCTTTTCTTCTTCCTTTCCAGTGAATCTGAGATTTGCGATTGAATGTTAGTATATTATTACTGTTGTGTGAATGTTAAAAAGAAGATTTTCACTACACGTCGCAGAGTCGCGTGCGATCATGAGGTACATAGCAGAGAAGTACAGGTCACAAGGACCAGACTTGTTGGGAAAGACAATAGAAGAGAGAGGACAAGTGGAGCAATGGCTTGACGTGGAAGCAACAAGCTACCATCCACCACTATTGGCTCTAACGCTGAACATTGTCTTTGCACCGCTCATGGGTTTTCCGGCTGATGAGAAAGTCATAAAAGAGAGCGAAGAGAAGCTTGGAGAAGTGCTTGATGTCTACGAAGCACAGCTCTCCAAGAACGAGTACTTGGCTGGAGATTTCGTGAGTCTAGCTGATTTAGCTCACCTTCCGTTCACAGAGTACCTCGTTGGTGCTATTGGGAAGGCTTATATGATCAAAGATAGGAAGCATGTGAGCGCGTGGTGGGACAAGATTAGTAACCGTGCTGCGTGGAAGGAGGTTTCTGAGAAGTATGCATTGCCGGTTTAATAGAGAAGACAATGGATTTGTTTTGTTGTGAATTTGTCATGTTCATTTGTGTTTTTGTGTGTGAGCTTTGTGAGGGTCTCTGTTTCGGGTTAATGTCCTTTTGGTTTTTAATAAAAACAGAACTCTGCCTCTTTAGCTACCAACACGAGTGATGCTCAGAATGATGAAATGAACGATGATTTGCCTTTCTTTGAAAAGTAGTACAACAACAGATGTATGAAAATACTAGCAAATCAAGACAAATGAATCTGAGATTTGTTTGATTGACCAAACTGAGAGAATATAAGAGTTTTTGTGGTCGAATGTTAGGAGATTGTTGTGTCAATAGAGTAGCGTTCATTCAGTCATGAATGATGAATTGGTGTCTTGTTTGATTGTGAGAGATTTGTATGATGTGATCATCAAGAAAGACTTGAAACCGTGTAAGAGAATGTTAAAAAGAGATTTCACTTTTATGTTATGGAGTCGCGTACGTGCGACCATGAGGAAATGCTTGACGTGTATGATGCAATGGTTTGAGTGTATGAAGTAAAGTAGTAATCTAAAATATAAAAAGTAAAACGCTGCCTCAAATCTCACTGGCATTCTCTCGTAAAAACACCAACAAATAAGCTCGTCAAAAACCATTTAACACAGGAGACAATAGCAAAGCTGGTCGCAGTCTCGCATGTCAAAACACACCACACATATACGAAAGTCTCTGCTCGTTCCCTCCAAACATTGCCCTTGATTTGAGCTTCCACGATGAGGGCCTTTCGATGTGCATCTGCAAGAGTGAGAGGGTTCAACAAGTTAAGAGTGTCTTTGATCTTTTGTTGCCGCAAGCCGCAAACGAAACGCGCCACAGCTAGTTGGTCCGAATCGTGCAGACCAACACGCGTCAAAAGCGAAAAAAACTCGGTATAATATTCTTCTACTGATCGCTTTCCTTGTTGCAACTCTTGCAAGCGTTGGAACATCAATTGGTCGTAGTTGAATGGTAAGAACGTCTCACGCATCTCCTTCTTCAACCTATGCCAGGATAAGATTCTAGGTTTTCCCAAACGTGCGCGTGACGCATTTAGTTGCGTCCACCAAGCTGCGGCTGAGCCACGGAATCGCATCGCAATCATGGGAACACATCGCTCCAAAGGTACACGTTTGAAGTAAAGAGTTTCTTCGACCGTGGCGATCCAGTCGAGGAGTTCCTCGGGGGATTCTCCGCCATGAAATTCCGGAAGAAGCTCAAACTTGAACCCTTGTTCGATGATAGGGTTTTTTTCATGTTCAACCAACGGATTGTCTTCTTTATTGTCGATTTTTTTTGTGGCTTGACATTGATGAAACCTTCCTGCTGGTCCATATGAAAACAAAATACATATGAACCCTAGATTCTAATTAGCCCATTTACGGTTAAACCTACTTATCTATTAAACCTAATTGGCAATAAAAAACCTAATCCGATAGTTTATATATCACCTAATTTAATATCAAACCTAGGGTAATTTAAACATCGATCCTTTCTCACGAACAGGATGTTCCACTATTTAGATATATGTGTGTTGCAGTTTTAATTTGATTGTGAGCTTCGGTTTACTGACATTCAGTGTTTGACGATGCAAGAGGCGATGCTCTGCTTATTGATTTGATTCACTCTGGAGGTTGTTGTTTGAGTATTGATTTGTTTATGAGGTGCGGTTTCGTTTGTTGTTTGTAATTGATTCTACGTCATTATTTGGTGGATTTGTTATTGGCAAAAACCATCTTTGTCTATTAGTGATTTTCAATCAACAAAACACCTTCGCTGACAAGATTCAATGTAGATGGATTTGAAAGAGCCATTTATATAAATTTGAAACAGCCAAACAGGTCAATGGAGATGGATTTTCAATCAATGTATATATATATCAATGTTTAGGTCTTTTATTGTGTATGTAATCATTGGCCACCTCCTATATTCATGATGGATTTTTCATACCATGATACATCTTCTTCATCGTTTGTGTGTTTTTTTATTTGATTTGAATTTTAATCTGCGATTTAATCTTCTTTTAGGTACTAAAAGTTCGATCTTGAAACTTGGGAAAGCAGGCCACAATTAAAAAATGTCTCAAACGATCTTTCTGGTATTGCTGAACTCTTTGATTTGGTATTTTTGTTTTTGTTTGAAACACAAGGGATTTTAGTGTGTGTGTGTGTGTTTTCGTGGCGAAGGAAAATCGGAAAGGAAGTCATATCAAGACTTTATAAGTTCAAATACTATGAAAGCAAATTTAATAAGGTGGTTACTATATTTTTGGATTCTCTATTCTGGTGCGAAAAACTTTGTTAGTTTATGAAATCTTTTTTTTTAATTTATGGATATGGTGTCTTTTGTATTTTTGATCTACGAGTATATATGGATTTAGATTCCAAAAGCCTTGGTCGTTTTTCAATTTAAGTTTATTTGATTTGCTATGATGTATTTTAGTTTATATTGTTTCTTTTTGAAATTGTTAGTGACAAGAGTGATGGTGAAGCTAACGATGATCACTCTGATTATGCACAAGGGTGCCATCAATTTCGATGAAGTTGATTTTGTCACAATGAAGCTGATGATGTTGGAGAAAACGTAGAGTTTAACTTCAAAAGTTGTTTGCCCCCTGAACAAGAGCTTGATGCACTGGATGATAGATAAAGTAAGACGACAAGCAAATGGATGGAATGATGCAAAGGAGATCAAGAGAGCTTGCGTGATACAGTTACATCAGTGTTCTGGGAGGCTGCAAACGTTTCTCTATGAATGTGATTTGCACGTTAAATTATTCTTCTTATGGGTCCTTAAGTTTTTATTTTGTTTTATTTATTCGTCATTAATGATTTGAATGATGTCTTGAACCTATAAAAGCTAGATAAATCACTAATGGTTCTCTTAGATGTTTTCGTTGTTGTTGCCGCCTATGAGTAAAATCAAAAAATGCAAACATGCGAGTATTTTGACTCAAAGCTTGTGAATCTGTCTGGAAGTATTTTTGATGGGCTTCTTCAAAAGGGTTAAGACACATGTATAGTATATCTTTTAGTTGTTTGCTTTAATGTCTATGCTTTTAGTTGGTTGTAAAATTTTGACAATCTTTTGCGTTGTTAAAGTGTGTTTAATTAGTCTATTCAAATATATTTATTAAGGTTCGGATGGACTCTTCGACCAAAAAAAAGGTTCGGTTGGACTCTATGGTTCTAATCGGATTTTTTGTTATTGAAGTAAATGAATTTTGTGTTTTCTTATCATAACTCGGAAGATGGATAATAATTTTCTCATCATATTCTTCAAACTATTTTGTGTTTCGTCACTGGTATCTGAATATGATCATTTGATAATTCTATGATTTAGTTTGTTGTGTATGTCTACCCCATCATCAAGTTGGGCTCAAAATATTATTTTTAATGTTCGATTAGATTCACCCAGTTTTGTTCCATTATTTTGGTTTGTGTAACCGTAAGGCTGTTTACAGACCATGTCTTCTAAGATAAATATAATGCAAGTTGTAATTATAAACACAAAGATTGAAAAACGAATTTTCGAATGCTCAAAGGGATGCTCTTAAAAAGGCCAACCTCTCTTGGCTTTAATTATTGTAATTTCAGTTGGGCTTATTGGATCATGATTTTTGGAAGACATTAATTTTTTTCTAAAATCTACTGTTATTGGATCTGAAATTTTTAAATGTCTTTTAAAATCTCAGGTTATTGGATATAGAATTCTTCTCAACTAATTCAAAATAATTCATAATCCATGGTTATTCAATTGATAAGTGACCAAAATCATAAAAACTCTGGGTTATTGGATCATTTTCAATATTAAAACAAATTAAATCTGAAAAGATTTCTAAATATTTAATTACAAATTTTTAGTTATATAACGCAATCGACAAATCTCACCTATAAATATGATAATTTTAAGAGATTTTTTTTTTTAAAATTCAAACTTTTATTTAAAGAAAAGTTTACGAGCTGGAAATGAAAGCAGGATTTGCTAAAATGTCTATAACCGAACGTTTTGGGTGGATTAAATGTCATGTCTACAAACCATGATTACAAGAATTTACAAACCATGCCAACTTTAGAGTTTTGTTATGCTTTTCCTTTCCTTTACATTTTTTAATTTCAGTTTGTTTTAGTTGATGTTTTTGATTTACAATTTAGATGTTTTAGGTAGATTGAACGTTAGGTTTACGTATTAGCTTTGGAGTTACGCTATGTTTTTCTTTCTTTTGTTTTCTTTTGTTTTTAGTTGATGTTTTTGATTTAGAATTTAAATATTTCTTTATTTTTAATAAAAATTGTGCTGGTTTTTGTTTTGTCATACAAAATGAACTGAAATTAATTTTAAATTTTTTTTCAAATCTTAATGTAGATTTTTTAATTACTTAAAATATATATTAAAAATCATACAATATCTAAAAAATCTATCAAAATCCAACTAAATATCAAATCATTCAAAATAAATTCAAATCCATGATCCAATAAGCCCCCCTTAGACCACAGAGATATATTTCAAAAGCTAAGTAAATTTGATGATAAGAGAAGGCTAATATTAGATGAGAAGAAACATACTGTGGACACATACTATGTTTCTTTTGTGTTTCTTATAATAATTTGGTCGAATGATCAGTTTGTGAAAGCAAGAGAAAATTACTATGGACGCATACTTAAGGTACTCTTGAGAATCACTGCATTCATATACAAGTATGGATTTTGGTTCACTTTTGAAACTAAGGAATTCTAGACTTGATAAGAAAGATTTTCAAATTAAAAATAATGGTTACAAGACTGGGATTAAGGTCATACAGTTTGAAAGAAAGAGTTTTAGAAGAAGGATAAACATACAATTACGTAAGTTTATAGACCAACATAAAATTTAGGAAATATCCAAATAAAATGCGAGTAATTATAAAATCTAGATTGTGTTTGAATATTCCGATAATTAAAAAAAAATATAAAATAATAAATGTATCTATGAAAAAGTTTTCAGAGTAATATATCGTAATCTTGCACTTTTTTGGCTTTGTATTTTTATAATGTAATTGTTATTTATAATGTTATATTTTATTTATTATTGTTGTGTTTTTCTGTAGATTGTTATATATTTATTGGTATTTTTAATGATAATATGATTTTAATTATATACGAATAAATAGTTTGTCTGCGAGATCACCTAGTATAACAATATTTATTATAGTAGACATTTTTTTAACTAATTCTTATTTTTATATACTTCTTTAATAAATTAATTTTTGTTTAACGCCTACAACATCTATTAACTTTGGCAGGAGCTCTAAATCGACCTACAGGAAGCAAAACCCCGATGAATGGAAACAATGTAAAAGTAGTATTTATTTAAAAATATAGAGAGTAATAAAAACACAATCTCAAATCTCAATGAAATCCTCGTAAACCACTAACAAAAATTGTTATTCTCCTTATTATTTTGAGCTCTTACGAGTAGAGTCGAGATACATTGCTCTGGCACATATGACCACCGTTAAGGAGAAGCCCACCAAACACCACGACAATACGAAAGCCTCTACTCCACTCCTGTTACTAATAATATTGCCCTTAGTGTGATCTTCCACGATGAGGGCCTTTCGATGTGCTTCAGCAAGAGTGAGAGGGCTCAACAAGTTAAGAGTGTCTTTAATCTTCTGTTGCCGCAAACCGCAAACGAAACGCTCCACAGTCTTTTGATCTGATTCTTGCAGATCAACACGCTTCAAATGAGAGCAAAACTCGGTATAATATTCTTCTACCGATCGGCTTCCTTGTTGCAACTTGTGCAAGTGTTGGAGCATCACTTGGTCGTAGTTGAATGGTAAGAACCTCTTACGCATCTTCTTCTTCAACTTCTCCCACGATGAGATTCTAGGTTTGCCCAAACCTGCGCGTGACGCATTTAGTTGCGTCCACCAAGCTGCTGCTGAGCCACGGAACCGCATGGCAATCATGGGAACGCATCGCTCCAAATATCCGCGTTTGGAGTCAAGAGTCTCCTCGACCTTGACGATCCAGTCAAGAAACTCCTCAGCTGATTGTTCGCCATGAAACTCCGGAAGAAGTTCAAATCCTTGTTCAACAATAGGGTTTTCAACATGTTCTGCCAATGGATTGTCTTCTTCGTTGTCTGTTTTTTCCTTGTGGCTGGGCATTGATGTATTCCTCTTGCTTGAGGGCGAGAGCTTGAACCACCGCTGTGAACTGCTGGATCTCTTCGTGTAGATGTGTGAGTACCTCTGCGTCTGTCGGAGCTGGAGGAGCCATGGCGAAGCGTTTTGAGAAAACTCTCTTTGAAGCTTGCTGAATATGAAAGAAACAAAAGGCTACAAATAGATTTCTTAATCTAGGGTTTCAACCGACCTAGATGATCCGATCCATTACCTATTATTTGAGAAGTAACATTATTGAAAATAGCTGACTTGTCAACACTACAGCCAAAGTTAGTGTTTTAAATTGATGACATGTAAATGTGCATGTCAAACTTCCTAAAATAAATGAAATGTTTTGATTGGTTAAATTAAAATTAAAGCATTTATAGAATTAAAACATAAATAAACTAGATTATATTTATAACACTAAAATTAACAAATTTAAATTAACAAAAAATAATCATTATTATGATTTTATGTTTTATAGAAAATAATAATTATTATGATTTTAATTTTCAACAATCCACTACATATTATTTGAGAAGTAACATTATTGAAAATATCTAACTTGTCAACACTACAACCAAAATTAGTGCTTTAAATCGATGACATGTAAATATGACATGTCAAACTTTCTAAAATAAATGAAATGTTTTGATTGGTTGAATTAAAATTAAAGCATTTATGGAATTAAAACATAAATAAACTAGATTATATTTATAACACTAAAATTAAAAAAATTTAAATTAACAGAAAATAATAATTATTATGATTTTAATTTTTACAGAAAATAATAATTATTATGATTTTAATTTTCAACAATATATATTATAATTTCATATAAAAACAAAAAAACAAAACTAAATTATCCAATAGAATAGTAAAGATTTTATATATTAATAATGTTTGAAGTATGATATATTTTTATTTTGGAAATTTATTAATTTACAAAATATAGTAATAGCATCTAAACAAGTTTTAAATAAACAAATTATTAAATAATACAATTTTAAATAAAATACAATAATGATAAAAAATAATTTAAAGAATAAAATGTTAAAGTTAAATATAAAGTCACTTAAAACTTTTTAACATGTAAGAGCCATATTTTGATTTTTTTACAAATACACGTACATATATAAGTATTAATTATGCATTAGTTAAAGTCACATGAACTTTTTCGTGCATGTATTTTTTTAAACTTGATTACAGTCTACAATTCCAGCTGTTGTTGCTCTCTCAGGACTTCCTAGGTAAATCGAGTATGTGAAAAAATTGTCAATAAATTCTCACATATAGTCAAAATTTTTTTTTAAATTCTTATACAATTTATATTTTAAAAAAATATTTATCTATTTTAAGTATAGTGATGTGGTTGGTATGCCCACACATGCGTACCAACCATTTATCCGCTCTTATGATAAGTAATAATGGTAAAAACTATTTCAGTTTAATTTGCAATAAATCAAGAAAAATATATTATATATGTATTTGCAAACTCATACTCCCTCCGTTTCATAATAAGTGTCATTTGGAGAAAATGTATTTTCATTAAAACTTGATGTATTAAACTCAAAACACATTCAGATACATCCAGATACATTGCATATACATTTTCTCCAAATGACAATTATGAAACAGATGGAGTATTATGTAAGACGCAAAAAAACATATTGTAGATTGTGTATAGAGAAATAAAGCATATTATAGAGAATATTCAAAAAATATTATAAAAATTTAATTATTATTTAATATACTTCTATATTTGTGAGTATGTATTATTACAAATATTATAAAAATAAAAAGTTTTAAAATATATTAGTTTCAGAAATAAGTTTGTGAAATATTAAAACAATTTATATATACAAACATACAAATGTTTGAAAAAACTAATCAATACTTAAATATTAAAATTAACTATATATATCAAACAAATTATACCCGCACATATGTACGGGCCAACCACCTAGTAAAACTTTAAAAACAAGGTAAAGGACTAAAGCCTAGCTAAAATAAAAGTAAAGATTATTTCAATATCGTAATAATAAAAGTAAAGTATTATCTCAGTTAAAAAAATTGTAAATCGTAAACGTGTATCTCAATAAAAATATTGCACTTATATAAAAATTTGAAACTGGTGTTCATTCATATGAATCCAAAAACAACATCATCCAACAGTTTGAAGTTTAAACACATCTCTTTGTTCTTCATGTTGTAGTAAACGAATCCTTCCCTAGTCAGATAGAAACTCAAGAGTTGCCGATACATAGACAACTCTTGAGGCACAGGAAAACCAAAAGGCAACTTTTTTTTTTCTTTGTTAGAACAATCAACTCTCCAAACATTACGAAAACATCTCAGAGTATATAAATAATGTACGAAGATCTCTACCAATCATTCATCATTCAAGGCTGATGATGAAAAGAAGATTCTGGAGGCAGATCATTGCGTGGAACATTAGATTCAGGAGTTACTACCGAGATATCCAAGCTGTTACTTCTGTCCCGTTCAGTCTCTGCAGATATTTCTCTTACATCAGAAACTCTTGCCTCTGTTGCCTGAATATCATTCCATTCGCTCTCTCCAACCGGAGGCTGAGCTTTTACGACCTGATCTTCACTCATATGTACTACATTCTCTCCCGGTATAGAGGCTGTTCTTGAAATGCTCAGGCATGCTTTGTCCACATCCTTTTCTGTTTCCTTTGTCATTGGAAGAGATGTTTCGCCGTTAGTAGATTCAGTCTTCTCCTCAAACACTTGCTTCGTCTCTAGTTGCTGCCTGTTTATTCAACGATACAAAGAGATTTATCACACTTGAAAATAATGAGTTGCCTTGGGAGAAAGATTCAGAAAAGCTAACCTTTGAAGCTGGGTTTGTAACATATTCACATACGCTAAAAGGTCCTGCTTCTCTGTCCAAGCAGTTGCCTCTCTCTGAGAAGCCTCCTTCGCTTTTGCTTCACCACTTGCTTCTGCAACCCTCGCTTTCTCTTCGGCTCGTACAACAGCTCCTTCAAGTATAACGGCACGCTCTCTGGCTTTTGCAAGCTCAGACCGCCACATATGTGCCTCTTGGAGTGCAGAGTCTCTCTCCTTGACCAGTTTATCTTTCTCCTTACTCAGAGTACATGCCTTCTCTTCCAATTCCTTGAGCTACATAGGAGATACAGATCAATAAGCAACAATGCAAAGATAAGATGAATGTACTGTATGTATGATCTATATATGACACGGCCTCATTACCTTCAATTTAGCCACTTCTTGCTGTCTCTCTGAGTCTTTAGATAAGCGCTCAAATTCCACACAAACGATTTTCCTCTGTTCATCCATTGTATGAGCTGCAGATGCTGCGGCTACAGCTGCTTCAGCAGTCTCGGATAGTTTATCTGCTATCTCCTTTATCGTTGAGTCACGAGAACGAAGTTCCCGCGCCAAATTCTGTAACTCTTCGTCTTTGACACGCAGAGTTTCCTGTAATATGTAAGTGGCTCAACAAAGCTACCCTCGACAAAAAAAATAGAATAAAGATGGACGATATCCTTTATGCTAAGATGTCTCTGTATGCTTTACATCAGTCAACAAGACATTGCAGGATCTCAATAGCCAATGGATGTCTTTATGCTATCTACAGTGAATGTATCCTTTAGTCAAGGTGAAAAGAGAGATGGGAAAATACTCTTACCTTCATTATCGTCAAATCATCTAGTGGTCCATCCATCGGTTTATTTGCCGTTATTTTCAACGCAGTCCTCAGAGAGACTTGCATTGCTGCTTGGATTTCTTTGGAACATTCCAATGCCGTTGAATTGGCAGCGGCAACAACGGTAGCAACCGTACCAAGCGTCGCAGAACCACTCCCGCTAAGAGAATCAACAGCCTCTTTGTGCGCCTTTAGAACTAGTTGTGTCGCACTGAGTATTCCAAGTGACAACAAGATGGATGAAATAAGTGGAGAGCAGATATAAAAGACAAAGATCAAGAACCAGATGACTTACTGTAAAGTTGTAACCCAAGCTCTAGCTGCACCAGGAGTCTCTGCACACAAAAAGTAATCTTTCTTCTGTGGGGTACCGATATCTAAAATCATGTTAAAGAAAACTCAACTTCACATCAATTATCTCCGGTTAGACAAAAGACATGACACTATAAATAAATTTTGCCAACATTTTACTAAGAAACAAGGATACAGATACAGCAACCATTATATTTCGGAAGCCCCCTGAAACACAATACCAACAAATTCAATAATACAAATAAACACCTAATAAGGTCTGATTATTCAAAACAAAAAGAACAATGTAGCAGCATGCATCCGTACTGGAAGTTGACAGGAGAGATGCTGATTGTACTATTTTCGTCAAACACAATTGTTCCTTTGATAGTTGGTTCGTTTCGTCTTATCCTGAGTCATGGAAAAAAACACACATTAGAAATTAAATACACTAGTGAAAATGATGATCTCCACAAAGATGCAGCTACTACATAAAAACAACTCGATATTTACTCACTTGTACTCCATTTTCCCTGTTGTTGGATCAAGTATCACCCATCGTTCGTTCCATTTTCTCAGCTTTTCATGCATAAACAGAATGGTACAGTGTAAGCCTTTTAATAATCAAAGACATTTCGAGCCAACACAATTGATGATTAAGCTATAGAACTCTACAATCAAGTAGGACTTTTTTATTCTCATCCCGATGCTCCATGTGAAATAGTGAGAAATCAGAAAACTTTAATTCGCCTAACTAAGAAAAAACCCAATCGATAAAGCTAGCGACTTTTGATCATTTCCCTCAAATTGAAGAGAGCCCATCAAATGAATTGAGCTTACAGTTTCAGACCGCTTGAAAAGCGGTCCCTGTAGCAAGTTCCGACCGGAACCAGATGCCAATTGCCGCTTGATCTTCTCCAAGCTGTTCTCCGTAGCATCGGCAATTCTCTGCTCGTTTCGACAACAGAAATGGTGAATTGGGTCAACTTAGAGTGTAAAATCGAAAATCAGTAAAAAGAATTTGATCAAATTGTAGCACAGATCGAGAGAGAAAAACGAGACCGGAGAAGCGCCGTTTGAAGCCATTTTGATTGGGATCGGCGAGATCGGAAAGCTGTTAGATCGATCAGAAGTGAATAACTGTTGATCGATGAAAATCGAGAGAGGAGGGTTTTAGAGGTTTTCGCGCTGGGTACGAACTATGAAGTGAAGAAGACGAGATGGAAGAAGAAGGATCTTCCAGAAATTGCTGTTAGGTTTGGTTTCGCGGAATTGCAGTTGAAATCGTCTTCACGCACATCAACGCTATCAAATAAACTCAACCGACCGGTACGTTAGTGGACCAGCTTCCACGTCAAATAACCGGTTCTTGAAGTTCTCTCTTTTTTTTTTGTTTGTTCTATTCAGCTTTTTTGGGTTTTAATCTGACGGTAAAGGGTGCTCCACACTAAAAAGATCATCACATTGACCCATTTCGGATGCAGTAGTAGGAGGATTTCAGGAGAATCTGTCTTCAGTCATCATGATCGATTCTTATACCAAATGAGTCCAGCTTTTAGGTGAATCAATAGAAAGAGTCAACGAATATCAAAACTTTGGACAATAGACATAGAAGTAAAGCTATACTACTAATAATTTATTTTAAGTTTTGGTTTCCGAACAATTTGTTTCAGATGTACATGTATGCCATCACCGATAATGAAGTAATACTTAAGAAAATGCCGAAAGAAAGGGGTAAAAAAAAACATGAAATAGAAACGGTTTTTTTATTACGCAAACAACAAAAAGATTACAACTCAAACACGGATAGAGAATACTACCAAACTTTATTCTCATAGTTATTTTTCTTACTTTATTACAAAAACGCACTATGGTTTACTACTCATACATACACATATAAGTGTACTATATAGATTGCAACCATGCATGGTGGTGAGTACGTTGTGTATGTTTAGTGACCGGGCTGAGTCTGAACAGCTTCTCCTGCATAAGAACAGCACCTTGCGCAGCCATGGCGACCTCTGTAGCAGCAGCCGTGGCGGCAGTAACCACCTCTTCCTCCGTTGTATCCTCCGCGGCCTCCGTTGTATCCCCCGTGGCCTCCTCCATTGTAGCCTCCATCACCGCCGTGGCCACCACCACCATATTGATCCGGTTTCACGGTCTCCTCACTCTCCGACTTCCCCGTGCCTATCCAAAACAACACATTATTTCAAAGATAATTGTTAAATCTGCACTCCTCTCCTGGATTTCAATTTGTTGTTCTCTAAATAACTTTTAAAAATATTCCGATCTCCATTTTTTTCTTAAAAAAGGTAAAATATTACAACAGTTCTATATAAAAATTGCATAAAACATTATGGATTCGTATAATAAGGATTTGAGATCATACTTAAGTGTGTTTTGACTTTAGGAAGTCCAAATTCGGTCAAACCAACTTTCCGGACTTAGAACGGACGAATATGTATGTCGTCTTGAGAGTTAGATGAAGTTATCAAATGGTACGTTAGTTAGGGTGTGCAATTAGCAAAACAAACGTTGTTCATATACATATATTATCAAATGTTACGTTAATTAGGGTACAAGAAGTAGCTAGACTGATATATATATATATATACTATTTACGTACCCGACTGGCTTTCAGATGCTGCAACCACTTGTGAGACGACGAGAAGAAGTGCAAAGAGACCCAACATAAACAAAGTCTTGGAAGCCATTTTATTCAACTGCTTGTATTATAACACTCTTTTTTGTGATGAATAAAATGTTACACTGTATGCCCTCTATTTATAGCAAACGAAGAGGAAAGAATGAGCAATGAGAGCATCCGTAGTATAACAACAACAAGGGAATATTTTACTAAAGAAAAGTTGAGGAAATTTATCACAGCAAGAAAAGTTATGGTTGGTTGTTGGATTCATCGTAAACCAGATTGAAACTCCATAAATGGCAACCCATAATTGGTCTTTTAGATATTTCTGTCAACGTCTTAAACTCAGCGCATTCACACAGATGAAGAAGATATAAAATTACACTGTTGGATTACTATTATTACTAGATGCAACATTGATATCTGCGCGGTTTTGCGTCTTATATTATTTTATTTTTTATGGATATAGATATTTTGGCTAATTTTTGTACGTAATAAGTTTCATGCCGTCCGTATTTCATATATATTTTTTTCTCTTAATCGGCGATTTCAAACCGAGTTCAATTAAAAGCAACAAGAAATACTATTGTATCATTTAGATACATGATGAAGATGAGTTTGTAATGGAAAGATTCTCTTCACCTTTTAATGATTAGAGCAAGAAATGTAGAGGTGAGGTTGGGAGGCAGAAGCTAGTTGAAGTGAAGATTCTTACTGAAAGCTTTGAAGGAGGATGGGCTCATGAACATTAATGGGCTTAGTTTATACATGATTTATTCAAGCCCATGGGTTTAATGTGACTAGCCGCTGACAATTGCATAGAAGTGACACGAACCGGTGAATTTGATTCGGGGATGGTCGAGACATGGTATTGGGTCGAGACATGGTATTGGGTCGAGAAAAGGGACTGAGAGCATCAAAACAAAAGAGTAGTAGACATGTAAACCAAGACAAACTGCAATTTGGAGTTAACTCAAGTGGGAAAGCTGCAAAACGTACGCGAAGTGGTCCTCTTTATTTTACGTCTATATTCCTTTTACATCATCAATTATCTCATTTCAACCTCACTTCTATGGTATTTTCATCAACAATGCCTTCCTTCATTTCCCTAAATCAAACGGATTTGCTCCATAACCTAAGTCATCAAACACTGTGGTACCTATCTAGAACTCAATTTACTCAAACAATTTGATTTCCTCTTTTGATAATTGCTATATAATAGTGTTAACACATGGCTCATCCCAGTTCATCAATTTCAAAACCTATGGGTACCCCAAAAAAATACAATAGGACATAGTTTTGGGCTTTCTAAATCCATCAACCCTAAATAAGAAGAAACTTATACTGCTACAGAAACTGATTCAAACAACTGAACAACTTTTTAACATTTTTGATCATTTGTCTAAATATTTGTTATGGTCTTATGTTAACACAAATATAGTTATCCATGTGCTCATTATAATCTTATACCTTCCATAGTGAAATCATGATGTTTGTTGACAGTAACATATTATAGTGGTCTTTGAGTGCAACATGCCATGACTTACTTTACAAAAACTCTGACATTCTTCCACAATACATAAAAGTTCAATTAAATTCTACTTTTGGATGAATCTGGAGCTAAGAAATTTTAATTTTTAATTTTTTTTTTCTTTCAAATGATAATGCTAGAGAAATAGTGAAACCCACTTGACTTTTGTAAAATAACCGAGAAATTTTGATTCTTCGATTTCTAGCTTTTTTTTTTTAAACATCTCTGTTAGTTTCTAATTAAGAATGCGTAAATATATCACTAATTAACACTATATTCAAACTCAACTTTACTTTATTCTAAAAGACCAAAACAGTTCTCTTTTAAGTCATAAATCAAATCGGTAGATTTAACAACAATTGAGTTACTAGATTATTGCCCATTCCTCCACTTGCTTTTTTCTCCATTTACATTATTAAAGAATTTAATAAACTATCGACCTCCATGCAAAACCATAGTTTATCACAAAGTTGCGCACTTTACTAATTTTTATCACATTTCTTTACACCCTAAAAGCAAATTGTAAAACCCCACTTTTCTTATAGCTAGGAAACTAGTGGATCAAGTTTCACATCTTCATCCTTCTTTACACACACATTTATATATAACTATATGAAATAAAAACTATCTTCAATTCTAAACTATGCGTTTGTTGTTTCCATTTCAAACCACATGAAACCATGGCGGTCCATCATCATCTCTTCGTCTCTCTCCTTTTTCTTCTTCTTCTTCCCCTATGCTCCTCTCAAGAAAACGCCAGAAGTTTGGCCATTGATGTCAATGGTCCACTCGAAACTTCTCCAATCTCAGAGGTCAATATGTTCTTCTCTCTCCCTTTCTCTCATCAAACTAAATCTTCGCCATTGTTATCATTGATGTAGCTTATAATCATATACAATGTTCAAAGCATCTCCTGACTCCTGTGGTACTGAAACTTATAACCTAATGACAATGAGTTAATTTATCATCTTATGATTAGAATGTAATCATGAAGAGCAGTTGAATCATCTGAATAATTGAGTCTTTTACATATGGGATGATTAAAGGTTTAAGAAATATTCACTATAATATTCATTTGTTTGTTTATATAAACTGCGTGATTAACTTGTTAAATTTATCAACAACTCCTAATTTATATTCAACTCTCTGTTTTTATATTAAAAAAATTCTTGTTGAAACAGAAACTAAATCCAAAGCTTGTGTACGAAATCAAAGTGCATGGCTTCATGCTCTGGGCATCGATGGGTGTTTTAATGCCCATTGGTATAATCTCCATCAGATTAATGTCTACCAAAGACCAACCTTCAATCACTCTTCAACGACTCTTCTTTCTTCATGTCACTTCCCAGGCAGGTTTCACTTTTTTTTGCTCTCTTATTTTTTTCCATATATATATCAAATATTAATTCAACAAACTAAATCATAAGAATGTTGACAATATAGTTTGAGTTGAAAATGAAAATTCAATGGTCGGTGTGAGTGTCAAATGAATATGGATGGGTCGAGAGTAAAGCAAAGATGCCTCTTTCCTCGTCTAAAGAATAAAGATTGCACCCAATTAACAACTTTCATGATTGTTTTATTTATTAGTCATTAGCAGGGACTTTTGGGTTCTTCGAGATTGTTAATCACATTGATAATCATGTAAACTTGAAGGCCAAGCAAAAGCGCCAAATATCATCTTAACCTCTAATTCCTTCTCTCTCTTTTTCTTTTTGTTTCTTTAAACTTAATTAAGAAACCACACCTACTATTTAAAAAAAAAAACGATTACAAAATATTTGTTCCTTGTTAAGAAACAGATTTGTAACTCTTGTTAATCAACAACAATCACTTTTAGCTATTATACTTACTAATCAACAAGCGGCTCATGGTTTACTTGGAATATTAAGCGAGCAATTAACAATGTGATTAATTTATCAAACAGATCATCGCAGTGATACTTGTGACAATAGGGGCTATAATGTCAATAAAAAACTTTAACAATTCGTTCAATAATCATCACCAAAGGCTAGGAGTTGGACTTTACGCCATTGTATGGTTCCAAGCTCTTCTTGGCTTCCTCCGACCTCCAAGGTACTTCAGTTTTTTTCTCTTTTATACATGTAACAAGATTACTCAGCTTAAGATTAATATAACAACGATTACTATCTTCTGTTTCTGTGTTTGCATTTAGAGTTTGCACACACTATTTAGTGATAGAAAATTAGTCAGAGTAAGGATCTGAATCCTATATACCCTTATGAAAGAAAAAATGGATAATTCTTAAATATGAAAAAGATACCACAGTTTTTTTAGGTTTATTGAGGGTTCTTAGAAGTCTTTAGGAAGTAGTCCTAATATTAAGTGACAGTGACACTTCCTATATAAGCTTTTGTGAACTAAATTTAATCTTTCTAGTGTATTTGAAATATTTTCAAAAATTATGGTAATTTTGGAACTAAAAGCTTCATTGTTGTAATTTAAGTTAGAAAAGTAAATGTTAAATTGAAGTAGTCCTAGTGGGTCTTGTTAGTATTGCATCTTGAGTTAATTTACTATACATTGCAGGGGAGGAAAGAGTAGAAGGAATTGGTTTGTAGCACATTGGATATTTGGAACATCAGTGGCTATTCTTGGGATAATAAACATATACACTGGCTTAAATGCTTACACTCGAAAGACATCAAAAAGTGCTAAGCTTTGGATCATACTCTTCACGGCACAACTCTCTTCTATAGTCTTGATCTATCTTTTTCAAGACAAGTGGACTTATATCCAAAGCCAAACTACAGTTGATAGAACCCAAGTCGTTGATCATAACAGCAACATCTCATCCGCAGAGACTAGCCATGGAGACGAGGTCGAGAAGACTAAACCGGATTTAGAGAAATGCTAAAAGCGCCAAAGAAGCTATAAGTAATTTGGTCTTGACTTTTGAGATTGTTTTTTTTTTCGTAGAAAAAAGGGTTTAAAGTGAATTCGAATTGATATGTGATGGTAAAATATTTGACTAACTTTCAAGTACTGTTTGGTTTGATTAGTCTAATAGGAGTATTACACATTTAACAAAATTAATAAAGCATGATTTTTCTCAAATAAATTTGATCAGCATATTAAATAGATGATATATTTTATAAGTGTATTAATGAATGATAAAATAATATATTAACTCGTGGTTTTGAGTTTAACGTGTATCGAACATACAACCTCCTCCTACTTGATTCGGGGTATAACAAAATTTTTTACGTTTTCTTAAGATGCCTGAAACAATCAACACAACAATAACCCATAAGTCTCTCCATGACTTGACACATCAGCATTCTCAAGCTTTTAGGAGATCACACTTCAGCAAAAAAAAAACACCAATAAAAACATTTCATTAATACAAATCATCAATTTATTTTAACTTTTAAATTTAAATCCATTAAAAACTCAAATATTTTTTATTGTTAATTTTAGTTTTATTTTTTGGTCAAGCCCAAGCCCAACTAATAAATAACAGCAAATAAAAAAAATTTGTTTTATTTTTTTAACAAACCCAAATAATAAATAATAACAAATAATAAAATTAAATCTTTGTTTTATATTTTTGCCAAACTGAAACTCAAATAATAAATAACAACAAAAAAAATTAAAATTTCTAACTATGTGTTTGCTTGATAGAGATGTATATGATTGAAGAAAGTGTAGACTCATCATCAACTATGCTTCCATAACAACAATGCAAAAAGCGTTATGTTACAAGAAGCTCACACATCAGCAAAAATTTGAACCAATAAAAACATAACAATAATACATATTATTAACACATTAATAAAATCAATTTACTATTTTGCTGACCCATTAAAAAGCCCAAAGTTTACAAAAAAAATGGAAGGCGAAAGCAAATGAGGAGAAACTCAGACCACCACAGCTTGGAGATTCGCATTTCCACTGGTTACCGAGAACAAATTTTCTTGGGTTTGGTGGAAATAGAGAATTTCTTGGTTTTGATAGAAAAATGTGATTTTCAGTTTCGGTAGGAAAACATAGTTTCTCGGTTATGGCGGAGAAAAGCGAATTCTCGGGTTTGGTGGCAAAATGTGAATTTTTGGTTTTAGTGAGAAATAAAAAAATTTGATTTTGACGAGAAAATGTGAGGAAATGCAACTTTTCAATTTTGACGAAAATTACGATATTTCTCGGTTTTGATAGAAAATGCAATTTTTTAGCTTTTGATGGATAATGTAATTTCTTGATTTTTGTGGAAAATTGTAATTTGACAATTTTGGCAGAAAATATAATTTCTCAGGTTGATAGAAAAGTAAAATTTCTCGATTTTGGCAGGAATAAACAATTTCTTGGTTTTGATGGGAAATGCAAATTTTCTGTTTTTGACATATGATTTGATTTTTGGTTTTCGAGAGAAAATATGATTTCTTAGTTTTCGTGGGAAACGCAACTTCTCAGGAGATAATGCAATTTTTAGTTTTTGTAGAAAATTGTAGTTTATCGGTTTTGGTAGGAAGGCGTGATTCTTGATTTGACGAGAAAAATATTGTTTTGGTGAGAATAGACGATTTCTCGATTTTTGCGAGAAAATAATTTTTTGGTTTTGATGAAAAAATATAATTTTTTTGTTTTTGCACGAAGATGAATTTTTTTGGTTTTGGTGAAAAAAACTTGATTTTTCTGTTTTGACGGAAAAACACAGGTTCTCGCGGGAAAATGTGATTTTTGGTTTCGAGGGAAAATGCAATTTCTTTGTTTTGGTAGGAAAATGAAATTTCAGGTTTGACGAGAAAATGAATTTTTTTTTGGTTTTGGCGGGAATAAGCGATTTCTCAGTTTCGTGGGAAATATTTTTTTTTTGTTTTGTCGGAAAATGCAATTTCTCGATTTTTGTAAAAAGATAAAATTTCTCTGTGTTAAATTTTCAAGTTATAATATGTTTATAGTAACCAAAATTGAATTATTTAACTTAACTAAATTGATATTTCAACAGTTCAAATAGAACTTTCTATTTAGTTCTAAAGTAATAGTAATGATTTTGATATAAATGTTATTGATTATAGTTTGGTAGTTTTAGAAACATATGTTTATAATAAATATTTGATAAATAAATAAATTTTATAGTTTAAAATAATCATATTAATTAATATTTTTTTTAAATAGCAATTTGCTTTATATAAGTTCAAAAGAGGATTAAGTAGCAATTTAGTAGAGAAAATAAATTACATCTACCATTAGCTTGAAGGTACTTAAAATGTATTGTTTTATTCTTACATATTCATTTATAGATAGTTAGCTAAACAAATTTGATAGTAGATTATAATTTAAAAAAATAAAAAACTTAATGATATATAATATTTATTCAGATTTAAAACATATAAATACACAACTTAAGCTAATAAAAAATAAATATAATACTCATTTAAAATATATAAATAATTTTATTATATTAAAAATATTTGCAAATCTAAAAAAATATTCTGCAGCATAGTACGGATAAATACCTAGTAACTACATAATGAACCAGAAACAGTAATTAATATATACATAAATAAACTTTTATATACAGTAGCTGGAAAAAATAAAAACTTCCATATATTTTTTGTTAAATAAAAAAAAACTTCCATATATTAGGGAAAGAGATATAACTACCATATACATTAAGACCTCTAGATCTCCAAGATTAAAACAATCCAACGCAAAATGGAAACATATTCCTCACTAATGAAGACTGTAACGTCAAAATAACAATTTTACATATCATTTACCGAGAGAGAAAAAGAAAACAACTCTAATTCAAGAACGAAATCTCAATGTTTCCATTTACATATATGCACATATATCACACACACACTCTGATATATAAAAAGCAAAGCCACCAAGACAAAAATAAATTAATCACACAATTCTTCTTCCTCAACAACCCAAAACATTGACAGCCTCTATGAGTTTTACAATGATGAGAGGTGCTACTTCGACCGGAGTAGTAGCAGTCATGGTAATGGTAATGATGCTTGTGGTATTTAATCAAGTAGAGAGTGCTATTGTGAATGCTTCATCATCATCAAACAAAAAGTCTTGTGATATTTATAGAGGAAGTTGGATCTACGACACATCTTACCCTCTCTATGATTCCAAGTCTTGCCCTTTCATCCAGAAACAGTTTAACTGCAAGCCTAATGGTCGCCCCGACAGTGATTACCTCAAGTATCGTTGGCAACCAACCGGATGCAATATCCCAAGGTTATACTTATATACCATATCCTGATTATTTATGTGTGCAATAACATTTCGATACGTAGTTCTAATGCGTGTCGTGTGGTGCAGATTCAACGGCTCAGATTTTCTGGAAAGAATAATGAGAGGTAAGAGATTGATGTTCGTTGGAGACTCATTGAGTCTAAACCAATGGCAGTCTCTCACGTGTTTGCTCCACAACGCCGTACCAAAAGCTTTCTACACCATGACTCGTTCCCCTTCTGGCCTCTCCACCTTCTCATTTCCCGTAACGTTCTAACTCTATCATAATAAAGATACTACATTTTGGACGATATAATTGGTCCGGTTTAGATTAATTCTGGTTCGGTTCTTGTATAAATGATGTAGGCTTACAATGCAACGATTATGTTCTCAAGAAACGCGTTTCTAGTGGATTTAGTGGGAGCCCCACCAAAGCGACTGATGAAGCTCGATTCAATCTCGAGTGGTTCGCTGTGGAAAACCGCAGACGTTTTGGTCTTCAACTCTTGGCATTGGTGGCTTCACGCCAACCGAAAACAACCGTAAATATATCTTATCAAATTATCTATGATCATGGAGATTAGTCTAGACTTAGTTACTATATCCATAATTAATGTAGTTATTTTGGGATGCAGATGGGACGCAGTTACGTCTGGGAATGTAACGGTTAGAGACATGGACCGATTATTGGCGTATAAGAAAGCAATTAGGACTTGGGCTAAGTGGATTGATCAAAACATTGATCCTTCCAAAACCAAAGTCTTCTTCCAAGGTGTCTCTCCTGACCATGCCAAGTAAGTTCCTACTTTATATACTTTTTTTTTTATATAATCATTAGTGATGAAGATTAAAGACTTTTGGATGCAAAAATGTTTGGGGTTAGTCTGAGTTTTGGTTAGAAAATGTGTGGTTATATAAAAGAAACATTGAAGTTGAATATATTACATTGGTGATGTTATAGCTCAAGCGATTGGTCGAAGCAAGGTGGTAAAGGCAGCTGCATAGGAGAAACAAAGCCGGTTATGGGATTGAAGTATCGGGCGGGACCACACAGAGCGGAGGTGGTGGTGGAGAAAGTGATCAAGACGATGAAGAATCCGGCGAGGTTAATGGACGTGACATTGATGTCACAGCTAAGGAAAGATGGACATCCTTCGGTATATGGATTTGGAGGTCACAGGGTCCCGGACTGTAGCCACTGGTGCCTTGCTGGAGTTCCAGATAGCTGGAACCAGCTCTTCTACTATGAGTTGTTGCATTCTTAATTGATGGAAGATGATGATGGATAGAGACTAGAGTCACGAATTGAATTTATAGGCTATAGCCTCATTCATTATGTATGTATGGAGATGTTTGTTTTGATTGATGTGTGTCTTTTAAGTTATTTAGGTTGTTGGACTTTTGGTTATAACTTATATCGACAATCATAATATATAAAATAAAACTAGTGTGGAATAGATTGGCATTATTTTGGTTTATAAACATATAAAGTCGAACGTTTGACCGAAAAAACAAACGTATAAAGTCGAAATAAACATGCCACCCTAATAAGTTAGGTGAATCCACTTCAATTACAGTAAGACTTGGGTTAAGATTTGTTTTTCGATTTTCATATCGGATTGTATTGGTTTTTATGAATCAACACAAAATATTTCAGATCTAGTTGCTGACCTGTTAAAACAAGATTTAAGAGTGGGTTGTAGAAAGTGTAACTAGTTTTTGTTTAATGTCTTGTTCTTGTAGTTTGTGTTGTATTGTGTTATGCTCTGTAATTTGTGTTGTATTTTATGCCCAATTACAAACCCAACTTGATACAGATATAGAGATAAGCCTATTTTTTTTTTTGGTCAAAAAGAGATAAGCCTACTTAGATCTCTTTCTTCACAATAAAAAAAATATACAGATCTATATACAGATCAAAAATTTCTTGCCTTCTAGTGATAAAAACATAACAAATCAACTATCTATTTATTTAGACCAGATCAATACAGATCAATTGATATAAATATGTTATGTTTGATATGTATTATTTATTTGATATGTATTTTTTTAATCTGTTTTCCATTCAAAATCCATCCTGTTTAAGAAATGAAACAACAGACAATATTACAAAACAACCAAACTTGGTTTCTTTTCAGTAAATAGTTAGTTATATGTTATTTTTTACTCTTGGCTTTTCAACTGTATTGAATATTCTCTATTGTCCAAACATGAGGATAGCAAGACAAGATTTATCATTTATATTAAGAAAGAAATCTATGATGAAATGTTAACATTGAAAAGACAAAAACTAATTTGACATTTGTAATCGATAATAGAGATACAATGCTTATCACTGGTAGTTGAGCAACGGAGTCTGTAAAGTATGATGCATCTTTTTTTCTGAATATTAGTTTTTATCATGAAATGAAAATTATTTGTCATATTTTGTTGATTTAGATTCAAGTTTGATAAAATTACAGTCGTTGTAGGAAACATATTTAATGGTCCAGGATTTGTGGTTCCAAAACACGGTCGAACGGGAAAATGGACAAGTCGTGGTTGCTATAAAGATCAAAGTATTAAGTTTTTTACCAATTTTTTCAGAAACTTTGATCTAGAAAATTAATTTTAGAAGTACAAGGAGAAGCATCAATTTTTACTATTTGATAAATAGTAGAAATATAAAAGTAATAAATAAATAAAATAAAGTAAATAAATATATAAGAAAAAAATAAAAAGAATTTAGCGAAAAAAATATAAGAACAAAAATAAATAACTGTAGAGAAAAAATTGAGCAAATTCTAAGCAAAAATAAAGCATGTTATAAGCGTACTTAAAATAAATAATAAAATAGATAATTGATATCAAAAAGAAAAATATGAAAAATAAAAATTGTATTCGTAACTTACAATTTATGAGTAGGCTATTCTGGATTAGTAATTATGAGTCCTAGATTGCATGTAGTCACACTACTTTCTATATATTTTGTAAATTTCATGGTGGTGAATCTAATCAATGGACAATTGTGGCTTAATTCCACCGGGATTCGTTACGAGTAAGGACTTTGAATGAAGGGTTAGATGACATTGTGTTATGTAATCGTTCGTTAACTATGAATTAACTAGCATAAACATTAACATTTATATATTTCCAAAAAAAAAAACGTGTTTTCTCTCTAGAAGGCTATTTTGGCGATTTAGGGTTCTCTCTTCCACTGCTGTTGGTGTGGCTTCTCGCCGCCAACGAGAATCTTCTCCTTTTTTCCTCCTATTCCTTTCTCCCATCGTCTCTGTTCGCTCTCCCACCGCCACTGGTCAATCCTCTTCCAGATCTACCGCTGGGTAAACTCTCACCAGATCTGCATGAGGGGATCTCTCCCACTGAACCTTCCGACCCATCGGATCCTCCAGATCTGGCCGCCTCCCTCAGTCATCCATATGGTCTTTGTTGCCGCCGCTCTTAACCCCTCGATTGTGCTATTCCTCTGTCTAGATCTAGATTTTCAGCAACTAGTTAGTAAGTTTGCTTTCCTAGTCTCCTCTACGGATTCGCCTTAGGAGTTTGCGCACCCTCCTTCTGCAGTATGCACTCCCGATTTATCGGCGCCTCTCCACCTCTAAAGCATAGATGCTGTCTCTCCACTTCCCCGCCTTGATGCCTTACCGTCTCTCATGCTTCCCCTTGTTTGCTCGTACTCCTTTGTTTTAAGCTTTTCCAACTTTGGAACAGCTCTTTGCAGGATGGGTAAAACTTGTGTTGTGGAGTCTGGTCTAGGTATTTCTATTTTCATCTCAGTACGGCTCTTTACTGCAGTATGCAGAATTTGTCCCGTTTTTAATTTATTGGTAGTTTTAGGTTCTCTTCCCAAGTGGCAGAGCCCTTTTCCATTGAATCAGGTTTTGGACTTCTATAGTCCTCTCCTCTCCTTCAAGAAGGCTGTTTTCCTCCCTAATATTTTACTTGTCTTGAGTGGTATTGTTTCAAGGAGCATTATCACTGACGGTTTCACCTCTACAACAGAGACTGATATCCTTCCTCTTGGTGGTTTACTTTCTCTTTGTGGTCTCGTTCAAGACAACATAATCTGTTATGTTGCTTTGGTCGAGCTTTTTAGCTCCCAGTTATCTGTGGTTGAGCTGGTTAGCTCCCATTTATCTATGTATCTCAGTTTAAGTTATTGTTGTTGTCTTCACTTGTTGTGTTTTACCAAACTGTTGGTAAATGCTTTGCTTTGTTTGGCTTCTTGTAGCCATTTGTATCTTCTCCGTTTAGAGAAACAATTCTCTTAAGTTAATACAATTAATATGTTGACCAAAAAAAAAAACATTAACATATAACCTAAGATATTTTCAATCGATGCTATCTATGAAATTCTATGAAAGGATAGATGTTGTCTTGATCAATCAATTTGGTGTACCATTCATCCATAGAAAGTTTCTTCTCCAGCAGAATCTCCAATTTGTAACTCATTTGTAAAAATTATCAGTTTTATTCATCAACTGAACCATGTACATGCTAATTAAGGGAGAGTTTTAAGTGTTTTATTTGGTTATGAGTCTTATGACTAGTCTCTTGAAAGATAGTCTTTGAAAATAATCATGTTATCATGATATCTTAACATTTATAATTTTGAAAATATGTTTGATTCTAAATAATCTCAAGTAGGTTATCGAACTCTAAATAATTTTGAAAATCATGTTATCATGATATCTTAACATTTATAATTTCTGTAAGCTCTCATGATGAAATTAGGCTTTGATTCTAAATGGGTTGGGTGGATAATGTGGTGCATATCTTCGGTGTCATACCAAGTACTGCTAAACGGGGAACCAAAAGGACACATAACTCCTTTGCGTGGACTATGCCAAGGAGACCCGCTATCCCCCTTCTTGTTTATTATCCTGACGGAAGCTTTGGTAGCCAGATACGTGGAGCAGAGGCAGAAGGCCGACTAACAAGAATAAAAATAGCTCAAACTAGTCCTGCAATTTTGCATCTCCTATTCGCTGACGACAGTCTCTTCTTCTGTAAAGCGAATATCCTGCAATGTGCAGAGTTGTTAAAGATTATCAACACTTACGGCCAAGCTTCGGGGCAACAATTAAATTTCAAAAAGTCGTCAATCTTGTTTGGAAGTAAAGTTAACCCAAAAAGCAAACAAGAGCTAAAAATAGCGTTTGGCATCACTCAAGAAAGAGGAATGAGAATGTATTTAGGTCTTCCAGAGATGATATTTGGCTCCAAGAAACAAGTCTTCTCCTATATACAGGAAAGACTAAATAATAAGATCAACTCTTGGTCCTTTAAATTGCTATCGAAAGGGGGCAAAGAAATACTTATGAAATCGGTAGCACAGGCAATCCCGGCGTACGTAATGTCATGTTTCTTGTTAGCAAAAGATATCATAGTAAAGATGCAAGGAGCCATTTCCTGCTTCTGGTGGTGTACGAAAGGGAAAAATTGGGGGCTCCATTGGCTCGCATGGGATAAGATTTGCATATCTTACGATCAAGGAGGACTTGGATTCAGAGATTTGAGAAATTTCAATCTGGCACTACTGGCCAAGTAACTATGGAGAATAATTAGGTATCCGTCATCTTTACTGGTGTGGGTCTTGCAAGGACGTTACTTCAGATACTCCATTCTGCTGGATGTGGAGAAATCCAATAATCCATCATACGGTTGGCGGAGTATCATGGAAGCGAAATAGATACTCTGTCCGGGCTTATAGAAAGTGATAAAATTAGGATTCAATACGAAATTATGGTTATATCCCTGGATACCGGTAGTCCCATCAAAACCAGCAAAAAGGCTTGTTGAATCGCATGATCCACATCTATATGTTAATCATCTCATTGATTTTGAGACAAAAACGTGGCAAGAAGACAAGATACAAGAGTTAATCATTCCTGAAGACATTCCGCTAATCATGGGGCTTAAACCATCACATACTTTTGACACAGATGGATACTGCTGGGTACATACAAAATCTGGGAACTACTCGGTTAAATCTGGATATGCATTAGCGTGTGAATTGAAGGAAGAGAAGACACCACCGGTAATGTTGGAACCCAATACAACAGAGATCATGAAGAAAGGGTGGTCCATCAAGACTTCAAGAAAGATTAAACACCTTATTTGGCAAATCATATCGGGTAGTATTGCGACTTGTGATAGACTTGTCGAACGACATTATGGGGTAGACAGGACATGCCCTCGATGTGGAGCGGACAAAGAAATTATCAATCACATATTCTTCCAATGTCCGCCAGCAATGCAGATGTGGGCCATCTCCCCCATACCTTCGATTTCGGGCATTTTCCCGAGTGAAGCTCTGTAGAGTAACATGTATCACCTCATTCATCACGCGACAAACAACGAACATTAATATCGGCTTTTCCCATGGATCTTGTGGTATCTGTGGAAAGCTCGTAACGACAAAGTCTTCAATGGTAAAGATGTCTCACCCCC